GGGCTCGACGCGAATTAAAGTCGTTAATAAACCCCTAAACGACCTCATTATGCACTTTTCAACTTTTAGAGCTAAGGAATGAACCTCAGGCGACTCCTACTCATTTTTCACCATTCTTGAGGCAAAAGGTAAGTTTTTCACTCCCCGAATCCATTTTTCGATCCGTAGAACATAATAGAATGGGTGAATATTGATGGGGGAAGGTTTTGTTATAGATTCTATGGTGGAAACAGCCCTAGATTGGATAATTGGGATCATGGGTATGATCTAGGGTTCATAGAATTATTAGTAATTCGGGTAATTAGTGATTGTTTATTGATTCTCGTACTATTATGATTGTTTGTAGATCAAGAACAAGCAGAACGAATTCGGAAAGGTAATGATCAAGTTTCTTAGGGTTTCAAGCTTGTTTTGAGGTAGGTGATTGTTGTGATTCTATGATTGTGTGATGCATGCTTGTTCTTGCTTCATTATGATACTTGTATATGTATGAATGTTACAATGTTGATCACACTTGTTGTAAATGAGATAGATAATTGATGAATGCCATGAAATCATAACTTAAATGTATGATCTTGATGATATACTTGTGATTGTGATTGTGATTGTGGTGTGTGAATGGGATCGGTTGCCACATTCTGACATAACTAACTTGGATCAGTTGCCACGTTCCAGCATAACTATGGGATCGGTTGTCACGTTCCGGCATAAAAATAGGATCGGTTGCCACATTCCGGCATGCTAACTGTTTAGGTTTTGGTTCCACGAGAGGACCAATGATTTGACATAAAATGTGAAGTTGTTCATTGTTCATAAATGTTGATAATGTTATATATGTGGATATACATAATGTTGTTTGATTTGTTTATGTTGCACTAGTGAGATAGCTGCATGATCATACCAGTACACTGTGGTTGTGTACTGATTCTGCACTTGCTCTTATTGTTTTTAGTACAGGGCAGCTTCAAGCGGCTATTGACAGACCTCGCTTAGAAAATCAGTGATCGTTGATTCGAATTCAAGGGTGAGCCAATTCTTTCGGGCTACCATGGGATTCTCTTTCGTCTATGTCCACCATTTTCGAACTTAGACATTTGTTTTAGCTAGTTGATTAGTTCATTAGTTAGGGTTGTATCCCTTCTTGTTTAGACGTGGTTCATTGTTAGAATGTTTTGGTAGATTGACTTTCAGGTTCTAGGTTATTCTTTTGCATTATTAGCTATTATTGTTAGACGGTTGTTGGAGTTTATGGGAACTCCCTATTTATTTCCTTAGTGTTTGACTTAAATGCCTTAGTTTTGATTTAGTTGTTTGGTTTGGGTTGTCGTAATGGTTCTCCCATCGGAGAGTTAGTGTGGGTGTCAATAACGACGGTCTGGATCGTGACAAAAATGTTGATCATTATCATATTATATCAAGTAGAAACCTTCCAAATGAAAAATTAAATTACCAAATCACCTATTAAACGTTAAACATCATTTTAAACTTCAAGCAACTATTATTTCAAAAAGTTTATAACATAAAAATATAAATACACACATTTCATACAATAAAAAGAAAATGTTTGCATTTAATAATTATAATAACCATAACTTTATATGAAACGTTGGTGGTTCAATTATTTAATTGTTTCACTAACCAATGGCCAACCTTTCATTGCTACCGTAAGTACAAAAAAGTTGAAAAGTTGAATTGAATATTAATTAGTAAATTAATTCATTAGTAATAAATGAAAGGAAATTTCAAAGGGCTGGGAAAAAACATTATATAAAGGCTAAAAGAGTTTACTAATTTCCCATCTCCTCTTTATCTGTCATATTCAGTTTTTAGTACTCTTGAATTATCAGCTATAATATAATCTTTCAAGAAATCATGGTGAAAATCACCATCTCTCCACCCTTTCAACTATCAGTATTACACTGTGTTTTGGGGTAGCAGATCTAGCGAGAATCTTCGATCGTGGATGGATTGATTTCTCTGGAAGGCTGATCATAGTTGACATTAATGAATTCATTCTTACAGTATAATTTTATTACAATTCTTTAACATGCAAAAATAATATACTTTCTACAAAATAGTTATTTCATCTAAAGAAATGGTGTTAGTTGAACGTGTTGATTGATGCTCCTCTTCCTGTTGATCATTACTGGCTATAACCTTTTATGATCATTGCAATATTCAACTTTAACTCGAATATTACTTGAAAAGAACTCACTAATTCTTTTTGTGTAAGCATGGCATATTTGGTTATTTAGAATTACAATACTTTGATTTCACATGTATTGGAATTTCTTTTGTTTGGGGGCTTTTGTTTCCATGCACAATTGTTAAGATCATAATAAGTACTTTTAAATTCTTAATAATCATATATTATTTGCATTATGTAAATTTTAACAAGAAGTTTTAAAAATTTTAAATATCATATCAAGTTTTTTGTTTAAATATTTCACATTAGTGTTTTACTATTTGGTATGAGTATCACAATTTATTATCCTAATATTATATCACGAAACTTAATACTTAATGTTATTATGTGCGAATATTTAATACTAATACTTCCTTATAGACAAAATATTTGCACCTAATAACATTAAAATGTAACTCATTTTATACATTTTACCTATCTAACTAAATATAGTTATTCAATTTTACAGTTCCAACAATAATTAATCATTTATTGCTCAACAAAGAAGTCATTCAAATTGAATGAGTGTTACGTTCAACAATTTTAATTTGTACTTTTTTTTTGTTATTGATTACACTATGTTTTTAATATAACTTATATCGTGTATACTATTTGCTTGAGACGCACATACAACACACGTGTCCACAAACTAGTAGGATTATAAAAGGAGGAGGGGTCTCTCATTTTTAACAGACACTTACACACTACCTCACATACATTTCTTTTCTTCTCTCTATACTCTCATATGTTTTCTTTTCATAGAAAGACTAGCAAGACTAGCCTCATTTTCCTCTTTGCATATTTATTTATACATTTTTATTTACATTATTCATACATTTGACTTTACATTTCTCATGCATTTGTTTTTATATACATTGCCTTTACTTTTATTTATATACATCGTGTTTATATTTATTTATGTCTTGTTTTTTTTTACATTCATTCATACATTGGTTTTATATTTATTAATATATATTGTCCTTATATTTATTTATTTACTTGTTACATTTTTTTTTTATATATATATATATATATATATATATATATATATATATATATATATTATTTTTTTCTCTACATTTTTTCATATATTGTCTATTTTTTTCACATTTTTGTATACATTCTTCACATATTTTCTGTACATTTTACGTACATCTTCCTAGGGGTGTACAAGCCAAATCGAATCGACGAACCGAATCAAATCAGAAAAAAATGATTTGTGGTTTGGTTTGGTTGGTTTGGCACTGGAAAAAATAATCAACCACTCTTGATTTGGTTTGGTTTGGTATTCAAAGAAAAAAAGTCAAATCGAACCCAGACCAAACCAACATAATATAAATAATAATTTTATTTTATTTATAGATAAAAAATATTATTTATAATCTGCTTTGTTAATATATTTTTAGTTAGTTTATAGTTTTCAATGTTTATATATATATTATTTCAAATTTGGGCTTGTAAAACTTTGTAAATATATTATTTTGTACTAAGATCAGAAATTACAATAATATTATTATAGTTTTTCAAATTCGTAGTTAACAATTTACTTTGTAAATATTTCTTTTTCTATTTAGTTTGATTGTAGCCTTTGATCTTATTAATTTAACATATTGAACGTTGATATTTCAAAAAAAAATATTTTGTACTCATGTGAATTTTATCGTCTTTTCGAAGATTTCTATTCGTTTAACATTTTTTAAGTTTAGCTTATCACACAAGTAAGTGAAAATATATTTGATCTCGTTTTCAAACACCGTATAGTTGTAAAAAACCGAAAAACCGAAAAAAACTGAAAGAACCAACTAAAGCCGAAATGGAAAAACCCGACTTTATGTGGTTTGATTTGGTTTTTAGATTTAATAAACCGACATAATTGGTTTAGGTTTTTTTTAATACAAACTCAAACCAAACCGATCTATGTACACCCCTATATCTTCCTAACACTTTAACACACATATTTTATTTTACACCATTTAAATATTTATATTATATTATTATATTTTTTACATATTTCGTATACACATTTGTATACGTAAGAGGGGGGGACTTTTCATTAAAGAGGGATACACCTTATTGACCAAAAAGTTTTTTACATTTTTATATATTGTTTCTACTTTTTTATATATAATCTTTACACTTGTGCATATATTATTTATTGTATTTATACTTTATAAATAATATTTACGTTGTTACTACATGTCCTTTATTTTCCTTACAAATATGTGTACATTTTCTTTATACTTACAAGCATTTTCTTTTATTTTCGTACCAACATCACCATGACACTTCACATAGCTTGTTATCTACATATTTTTATTAAATATTGTTATATACTTTAAACATTTGCAAGCGCTATATTTTTAGCCAATGATGAAATTATCATCGATTTGCAAGGCCTCATATGTATATAAGACGGGTTTTTATTTTTTTAGTTATTACATCTTTCATTTATTTTAGTTAATATTTATTTATCACCAACACTTTTACTAAGTGTGTTTACAATAAGTACACATGGTGGCTTTCCGATTCGAAGGACATTCAAATAACATTTTCATAAATTGTTAAAATTAGGCAAACAATATAATACTTTATTTTATTCTTCGTGTATATTGCATATTTATTTCAATTATATATTATTTTGTCTCCTCCTCAATTTATTATGAATATAAAATGAATTCAGCCAAACGGATTTCAAACACTTTTCCAAAATTTCCCGCCCTCTATCTCTCAGTATAAATACCTCCATTACCCATTTTTCAGATTCGCCATTTCAGAACTCTACATTTTCTATGTATACATAGTTTCAAAATTCAAAATGGCCCGTACTAAGCAAACAGCTCGCCAATCCACAGGTGGAAAGGCACCAAGGAAGCAGCTAGCTACCAACAAAATATAATTACTACAAAATAAAGCAAGTCGGAAGGGGATATATATTTGAAATTGGCTATGTCTTACTCTTCACTTGGGTTGTTCCTCCTCAAAACTCCATCAACTACTATATATAGAGGAGCATAGGCAGTGGAGGAAAACATATTACACCATATAACTTGGAGGCAAAGGGAGAATTACTTGGAGACAAAGGAGTTAAACTTGGGGACAAAGTAGATTAATACTTGGAGATTAAGTTGATGGCATAAGCACATTAGTCATCAACTTAATGACATAAGTGCTTATGTCACAAATTAATAGTGTCCCAAATATGTCTTAAATTATTTTAAAATATCCAACACAAAATGTGTCTTAAATTATTTTAAAATATCCAACAATCCCTCATATATTTTAAAATAATTTTGAAATAGAAGAACTCGACTTGTTTTATTTTGTATGATCAAAATGTTATAGGTTTGGTGTCTTTCGGACTATGAACCAAACTTAGACCGACAAAATTTAACTTACAGAATTATTGGTGAAATATAAAATTTCTATGAACCAATTATTCTACCAATCATATTTTAATCCTCATATTTTGTTGGTCAACGCGGTTTTGCGCCAATAAGCCATGAGCGTGCCTGGTATTCATAAGAGCTCTAGAGACTAGGCCAAAATCTCATAGGAGCGGCTTCACTCCACTTCTCATATAGGTGAATTCATCAAGTGTATACTGCTTTAAATACACCATCCACAAGGACTATGAATTCATTAAGAGTTAATAACTCATCCCTCATAATTAGTAGCAGTTCAAGCACTCTCTATTAGTGCGCAGTGTCAATATCGACTTGTTATTACCCATATGAACCTACTTCATGGGATTTCCAATCACATAGGTTGGGTTACCATCTCTATTGACAATCATATTGGCCTTAACCCCATCTCTTTCGAGAATTGAAGAATTAATTTTCTTCCCACAGATTTAGTCAGTGAATCGGCAGAATTCAGTTCTGATTTCACATAATCAATGGAAATTACTCCATCTCTCAGCAGTTGTTTAACGACATCATGTCTCAATTTCATGTGTCTGCTCTTACAATTGTAAGACTTATTCTTGCAATAACAATTGCGGCTTCACAATCCCCGTGTATAAACACATGAGACAATTCATTCTTATCAAAGGGATCATCTGGTAATTTATCCTTCATTAAAGGGATCAACATCCATCATTCATCAAAGGGATCAACAATTCATCCTTTATTAAAGAGATATTCGCTAAGAAATTTCTTAGCCACTCAGCCTAGCTCAGAACCAGCCAGCTCCAGAGCTACAAACTCTGACTCCATAATCGATCTAGCAATGATCATCTATTTAGCTGATTTTTAGGATATTGCACCACCACCTAAGGTGAACACATATCCACTAGCAAATTTTGTTTCATCTGAATCAGAGATCCAGGTTGCATCACAATACCTTCTAATGTAGAAGGAAATTTAGTATACATGATACCATAATTCATGGTTCCTATAAAATATTTCATCAGTCTATTCAATGCAAGTCAATGCTCATTATTGAGATTATGAGTATATCTACTCAATCTACACACATCATAGGCAATATCAGGCATAGTAAAATTCATCAAATTCAATACACTTTCAATAATTTGAGCATATTTAGACTAAGTAACTGGCTCACCATAATTGAGAGTTAGCATTATAAGAAGTGGTTATGTCACATCAAAAGATTCAAAATAATTTAAGAAGTCTTTTCACATAATTTTCTTGTGACAACATTATACCATCTTCACTCCTTATTACTTTAACTCCCAAAATCATATTTACTTCACCCAAATCTTTCGTATCATAATTAGTAGACAAAAATAATTTGGTAGTTTTCATAATATTTAAACTTGTACCAAATATAAGCATGTCATCAAATATAAACATATTATCACATAATCATTGTCTACCATTTTTGCATAAACACATTTATCTACTTCAACAAAAGAAAAATTGTTTCTCAATAATACTTGATCTAATTTTCATGCCACTATTTAAAATAATAAATCTATATGCAACACTATGTTCAGTATATTCAATAAGCATGCAATTAACATTTTAGAACCTATTTTTCTCTTCTCAGGTTCAGGCAACAGAACATTAGTCAGGCACCCCCACACTTTTAAATATTTCACATGTATCAAAATATTTGAATCCAAATAAAATATTAAATTAAGAAATTACATATTATTTATATATGAGACATTTAACATGTTATAATCTAGCATGCAATAAAGAAATAGACAATTTCTTCTCCTTTTTCAACTTGGGTGCATGGCACAAAATCAATTTTGTTTATATAAATGTACCTAGTAGCACCATAGTCTATCACCCAGTTTCTCACATTGGCCATAACATTTATTTCCGAAATGACCGCAATAATCATGTCATCCGTTTCAACCAAATTTATTTTTAGCTTAGCGGGATTGTCATTTCTTATCGATATTCTTTTGCATTGAGGTGTATATTTTTTTTTATTGTGAAGGTTTTATTATTAACATTGGACTTGTAACCATGTATATATACATACCTGTAATTTTCTTTACCGTAAGCCCCCAGCAGAATGACTTGAACGGTCCAATCAGGGTAGCACCAACATTAGTATCATCAATAGTTTCAGGACACATATTAGGGAAAAGGCATAAATTCCCCCTTCAACTTATACCGAAAAGTCAGTTACACACTTCAACTATTATGACGACCTATTACACACATTTACTACTTAAAAGTGAATTTATTTACTCCCTGAGACGTGTAACACCACTCTCACAGCATGTAGTGTATTACACTCGCTGCCACGTCATCGCCATGTCAGTGCCACGTCAAATTTTATATTTTTTTCTATTCTTTTTGTTTTCTTTTCTTTATTAATTAACTTTCTTTTTGTTAACTCTATTTTACACTAATTAATCTCTAATTAATTATTAAAATTCTCTAATAGTTGTATCTTTTTTATAATCCCACCCACTTTCTCTAATCTCATCAGAGAAATCATTCATTTGAATTTATACAAGAATTTTCTTTGTCTTCTCCGGCGAAGAACAACCAACCCATCACCACCATAAGTCCACCTCCACAACGCCATTTGTTCTTTTTTGACGAACCATCAGCCAACAACCACCACAAAACAACCACTCAAAATCCAAATCAATCACCAACAAACACCAAACCAAACCCCCTTACCTTATCCCTTTGCGATTTTATTCTTTTGATTTGTTTTAAAGGTGCGTCGGCAAGCTCAAAGCTTCAGCCATGGCTCCGATGAAGTTCCAAAGAGCTCCATACTTTCAGATCCGAAAAATCAACAAATAATCTGGACAACCAACAACACCACTACTACACTCACGTCATTGTGAATCTTTAAGGTTGTGATGAAAAATAAAAAGTTGTGATGAAAATTAAAGAATGAAGAAGAAGAGGGTAATGGTTGGGGATGGAAGATGTTGACTTTTTAATTCTTTTTCTAAAGGGTAATGGAAGGGGAAAAGAAGATTTTGATTTTTTAAATTCTTTTTTTAACTTTAATTTTTTCTGACGCGCCAGTTTTTTATTTATTTTTTATTTTTTTGACACGTCAGTTTTAGGGAGTAAATAAATTCACTTTTAAGTAGTAAAGGTGTGTAATAGGTCGTCATAATAGTTGAAGTGTGTAACTGACTTTTCGGTATAAGTTGAAGGGGGAATTTATGCCTTTTCCCCACATATTATATGCCATAATTTCTTAGATTGTTGGAAAATATATATAGATGGAAAAATTATAATATCAAAATAATAATACAAGAATTAAGATAAATACTACTAAAAAAAGCAAATCGGAAGAGGATATTTGAAATTGGCTAAGTCTTACTCTTCACTTGGGTTGTTCCTCCTCAAAACTCCATCAACTACTATATACATAGTAGCATAGGCAGTGGAGGAAAACATATTACACCATATAACTTGGAGGCAAAGGGAGAATTACTTGGAGACAAAGGAGTTAAACTTGGGACAAAGTAGATTAATACTTGGAGATTAAGTTGATGGCATAAGCACATTAGTCATCAACTTAATGACATAAGTGCTTATCTCACAAATTAATAGTGTCCAAAATATGTGTTAAATTATTTTAAAATATCCAACACAAAATTTGTCTTAAATTATTTTAAAATATCCAACAGTTGGCCTCTTCGAAGATACTAATCTCTGTGCAATTCATGCTAAGAGGGTCACGATTATGCCTAAGGATATTCAGCTTGCTAGGAGGATTCGTGGAGAAAGGGCTTAAGAATAAGCTTTTTAGGGTTTAAAGACAATTTGTGTTCAATGGTTTTGCTTTGATCTGTTGTTGGAATGCTAGGCTTAGTAGTGTACATTTACTAGATGTTTTCAGTTGTAGTATGTGTAAACTGGTGGTTTACTAGAATTCTGGAATCTGAGTAATAAAATATGTACTCTGTTTTGTTCAATCAAAGATATTGCTATTACATCTGTGTGTTATTTCCCATTCATTGAAGTTTGAAGCATTGCTTGTTGAATTATTGTTAGTAGCTATGGTGACTTATTTTTGCTAATTAAGAAACTTATCATTATCCAATGTTATGGGTTGAACTTATACTGCATTTGACCTGGTAGTAATTTAATGAATTGTCTGTTTGAGTTTAGCTTCGGGCAAAATGAGCTGTGGTGCTGTTGCTGTTGTATTTAAGCTGAGATTGGTCTATTATGAGGTTCCTCAACTCCGGCAAGTTTTAGGTAAGTTTTGAATTTGTATGGCTTTTGAATACTAGATTGCTTTGGGCTAATTCAGTACTATGCTTATCTAAGTTTAAGTCTTGTGTGGCTTCATGATATTATATCGTATTGTGGTGAGAGAAGAATGCTGAAGTAGACCTGCTTTTGTTTTGGCGAGTCATCTAAATGACTTTCTTGCTATGTAATTTCACTTTTTGTTTAGTATAGTACTTTTGCTTAATGTTACTTTGTGACTCGGTTATTGGATCAATATTCAACTTTTGCTAGAGAACTGATTCCTGTCCTGAACTTGTGTGTGAACTGATGTTTGCCATTATGTACAATGATCTGATTGATGAGAATGCCAATCTGAATTGATTTGTGGAAGAATTGATTAACTAGTGTACATCTGATGACTCGTTTCATAGAAGTATATGCAAACGGCTTGTTTATTAACATTTGACATATAATTAGTGAAACCACTAGTTTGTATTACTCAAAATTGAATGTCTTGACTGTTTATATAAATTTGCCAACAATTGAAGACTGAAACACTTTTGTGATGAGTCTTTGGTTACACATACATAAAGCTACTCTATCTAGAATTGGGGAATTTACGTATCTTTCTTTTTGAAATGGTGTAAATTTTTCTTACTTTTACCTTCTGATATTTGGGTATGAAGAATTTCCATTTATGGTACTTATTCAGTGCTTGCTGTTGCCATGTATTTTGGGGAGGAATAAATGTATCTAGATCCCAGAATACTATCACAAAGAACTACTTGACATTTGTTATGGTCGAAAAAATCCTGATAACAAAATGGACTTTTGTTTATGTAGGAGTAGGAAAATGGAATTCCATTACTTTCTGCCAAGATTTGAGGCACTTTTAATTCAACATCGACTCACAAAGTCTTCACTTTGTGGCATTGGTATTTTACAAGCTGAGCTGTGTTCCCTTTTATCAGTTGTCTGAAACTGAATATTATCTTTGTTATCTAAATGCTAGTGTATTTTTTCAGTATTTCACTCAATATCAATGGTTATCGACTTTTTGTGCTAAACTAGACCTCGTACAAGCTTCCTAATTGCATATTTTTTTGGCCAAAAGTCATTATATATGCTGAAGTATACTTGAGAACACCAGACTGCTAGAGAGATTGTGGACAGATTCTTAGACTGACTGTGATACTCAGAAAAATTAAGTTATGTTTGGAAAAGAGAGGAGTCTATTGTTCTTTAAGGTGTTGAATAAGCCATTCTCTTGTCTTACCTCAGATTGTTGGTCTGTGTTACCTGGGAGAGTTTTTGTTTTTTAAGCTTAAGTCTCGACTTGAAGTACTCAGCTTATGTGTAGATTGCAAATGGTTTCTTCAGCGGTTGGTTCTCATTATTAATACTTTCACAACTGAAGAAGGTAAGACTTTGTTCTGAATGTGTCAACAAAGTGATGGAACCAGTCAAATTAATCTATTGGGATAAGTAGTGTACAGTCATATACTTGCTACAAATCTTCAAGATTCTCAACCTTACCTAGACTTCTATATGTTGATATCAGTATCTTCTGAATGCCTGGTATGTATTTAAAAGATTTGTCAATTAAGTAGCTTTCTGTATTTTAAAGATTGGAACTTTTAAACTCAGGTAGGTTAGCTGATGGTGAGACCAAAGACTCAAATTCCATCCTGATTGCATAAGTACCAGTGTAAGGGAACGTGTACACTAAATCAAGAGTTCATGTAAGATGATACTATATAATAATGAATTCAGAATCATAAAAAAGAACTAAGACTCAGCTAAGATCATGTCAGGATTATGTAGGTTAACAGTTATTGAGACTAGAGAGATAAATAGCATCCTGATTGCATACATTAGTGTAAGGAAAGTACGAATAAACTAAGAGTTGGATTAAGATGATAAAAACATATAACGAAATTCTATATTAGTTCAAATAAAAAAATAGTAATCATGTAGTTATTACAACATATATTGAATCATCAGAATATCAAAACCTCTTCCTATTCCTATTCCAGCAGCGTCTAGTAGCAGGAGGGTCATTAGCAAGTTTAGGCATATCGTGGTAGTCAACCAGTACGATCTGTCTCTTGGCTGTCTTTTGCTCTGCTAACCTTTCCTCAAATTTCCTCTTACTTGATTCAAATTTCTTTATTTCATTGATGCTTTGTGTTTCTTTTTGCATTAGTGCAGAGCTATGTATTGGTCTTGTAATTGCATTGCAGTTGCTCTGTTGATGAGGAGGGGCTTGTACTCGCTCGGTGGCCACATTCATCTTCTTCAATGAAGCTGGCATGGTCTTGGTTAAACCACTGGTGCACTGCTTTCTTGCTGTTGATTCCGTTCTGCATTGGGTAGGGGTCTTCTTTTCTGCGTCACTATCAATTCTTTTGTGTTGAATCCGGTCAGTCTCCATCTTCTTGAAACCTTTGTGACTCTGTTTCTTTAGTTGTTTGTGTCCATCAAGCTCCTTTTCGAAAGAAAAATCAGAAAGAAGTTTTACACGAGGAGGAGCAACTTGTACATGTTTGGTGGACATCCTCTTCGTTGATCCCATAGTAGTAGTATTATGAGACTGTCGTTGTGTTCCTCCTTTATGACCATCCAAGTCATGCGTCTCGGGTGTTTTCTTCAACTCTTGAGTAATTGCATTGCAATTGTTGTGGTTTTCCAGAGGAGCAACTTGAACAGTTTTGGAGTAAGTTATTCTAATTTTGAGTGGCTTTGTAATCTGCTTCTGGCTCTGCTGTGTTTCTTCCTCAGCATTGGTCACTTCATCTTCATCACCAAGGACACAGTCTTCTTCCTCAAGAGTACTAGTGTCGTCATCATCATCATCATCATCATCGTCATCGAAGGTACTGGGGTTGGATATCATCCTGATTATCCTGTTTTTGCGCTTGTCAAATTGATGAGGATATTTGATTCCAGCAACTAGGATAGCCTCTTCAATCATGTGGCATATATCATAAGGCTTCTTGTCGATGTAATTCCATTTCATGAATACTTCTTCGATATCATCCATTCTCTCAACACTCTTCTAAGCTCTCACTTTTTTGTTTCTTTGTTTGTTTAATCAACATGACTCAAAGCTCCCTTATATAGGAAATTTTAGGAACATATTTGGAAATAAACCTTATAGGAAATTTTAGGAACATATTTGGAAATAAATCTCATAGGAAATTTTAGGAACATATTTGGAAATAAACCTTATATGAAATTTTAGGAACTTCCTTTCCATTTCCTAAAAGATATTTAAAAATAAACCTTTACCCTCTACAAATTATTAACCTTTACTTTCTCTACACAAAATGGGACTAGGAGTGCATAGACGGTTTCTTCAAGGGATTTTCCATATATGCTACTTATTTTTTTGTTACACCAATTTTCACCCCTTTATTTCCTAAAAGAAATCTACCTTTTATTCGGTTTAATAGTAAAACGTATTTTATCAACTAAATATTACTCCTCTTGAGTAAGTTTACAGGGTAAATAGGAGAATATTTTACGTATAAAAAATATATTTTTGGTTAAAGAAAATATTTGTCCAATAAATAATTTTGACTTAATGCGGAGGTTATTAAGAAATAAAGGAAGACTTTGAAAAACATAATTATAAATTGGATGATCATTTGAGAAATTCGAAAGTTTAATTAGTAGGTGACATGACATACCACATTATCATTTAGGCATATCGTAAAGTCAAATTCTCCGTATAGTTTAAAATGATTACATTTTATCTCACTATTTAATAATTTCATATCAGATTTCACGTTAGATACATGTGTATCACACTAGATACACAATTTATACATGTATCTAGTGTGATTCACATGTATCTAGGATACCAAATACACGAGTGAGATATGAGAGTGACGAGTGAGATGAGAGGGAGGCGAACAAGATCTATCTACAAATCTAAGATACATACGAATCATACTAAATACATGTATCCGATGTGAATAACATGTATCTATGATACTAGATACGTGAGCAACATATGAGAGTGGCGAGCGAAATGGATGATTGGATATAGTGTATCTAGAACAAATTACACCTAATTTTGACCCCATTATCCCAAAATACATATTTTTGGACGTATTTGAACACACTAAAATTTGATAAGATTCGTAATATTACAAACTAACGTATATCTAAGTAATTAACTCCTCAACTAATGAAATTTCAGCAAGTTACCATCTAAAATCAAATGAAGCACTTATAGAAGTGTAAAATACTTTTTTTCCTAATAAATCAGAAACTAGAAACTGCAAAGTAATCATATAACAGTGACTCAAAAATTGTAAAACCGAAAGATGTGCATTTTAGTGATTTTGTTATAACAGTTGCAAAGCAAGAAGAGCTGGCTCTGAACAAATTTTGAAATTGGTAGTCCCCAATCAACACAACAATTGATCATATGAATCATGTTAAGAGCCCATCTCTAGTCCTACTAATAGCACGAGCAACCTCCTCAACCTTAAAGCGCCTACAATACCCAAAGTTCTGAAGTCCTTCCTAGTGTACCAATTCACCCAA